TGTTGATGTTGAGGTCGATGGCAACGATTGATCGGGCTTAGCATAGTATTTTTTCTTCTTGGGATTGTCATAGAATATCCATTTCTCATCTCCAGTCACAATCCGATGCAAAAAATCTTTTCTTTGTTGTTTTTGAATTAGCTGTTCGCAAGTGAAAAATCACCTTTCAACGTCTCTCGGTTTCAGTTCATAAGGCACCCAATTTCCTTGTTTTTGAATTATTCCCATAGCTCTCAATTGTGCAGAAACGGATTGTTGAGTTACTCCCAATGATTCTGCAAGCTCCTCTTGCGTTTGACTCTGATCTTCTTCTAGTAATGCCTCTAATTCTTTGTCTTCGAATTTTTTTGGCTGTTCAGAGCGAGGCTTGTCTTCAACGCTGAAATCTCCTTGAAATGTCGAAACCATTCTCTACATGATTTATCAGTTGGAGCAGTATCACCATAAACTTCGACAAGCATTCGATGGGCTTCAGCTGCACTTTTCTTTCAATTAAAGTAGAAAATTAGAACCTCCTGCAAATGCTGCTTGGTTAACACAAAATTCGACATTTCAAACACAGTAAAAATCAAGGTTTTTGTATGAAACTCAAAGCGATATAAACTGAATATTATTAGCAGATGTCTAACCTCTCTGAAAACGCCAAAATCAGCTGTCACTATGAATTATTCATAACAGCCGGAGCCATCTTTTGGAAAACGGACCGAACTAATTTGTACTCCCAATACATGCGTCCGATTTTTGTCGTACGACAAATTTTTTAAGCCTGTTGATTGGCTATAGATAAAGAGGTTTGAAGTCCTCTTTATCTTGCAGCCAATTAACACGCTAGAAAAATTTGTTGTATGACATAAAACGGATGCAGGTAATATTGGCCTAAAACACCTATTGTAGATCCGGATTAAAACGGAAAGTACAGACTCTTGTATAACGCATAAAACGTAATGCATAAGAAATTGAACCAATTAAAGTCCTTCGTTTCCTTCCTTTCCATTAAATAAAGAATTCTGATTGGTTGAATTTCTTATGTTTTATGTGTTATGCAAGAGTTTGTGCTCCTCGCTTATATCTACATAAACTTGCATAGCAGAAACGTATGCATAAAGAAAATTATTCAATCATATTTTACGTGCGACTTTATAAGAAAAATGATAATTTTCTTTATGCATATATTTATGCTGCTGTTCACGTGCGTCTTTAGAGAAATGCGATTGGTTAACTTTCTTTATGCATACGTTTATGCGGCTATGCAAGTTGCGTGGATATATCTTTACGGTTATTGTTGCGGAATTTTGTATGCGATAGCCCTTATTGTCCGCTCTTTATTGTGTTTCCAGTTAGAGAGTCTATAATTAGAGTGGCGCCGTACGAGAGATGACGTCATATTTTAGCGAAATTCTGCGAGAGAGAAAGAGATATACGGTCTCAGTCTATCCAACAGACTGTCAGTTTTAGGGTTAGGTGCAACAATATTGAACATAGATACGTAAAGGTATACCTTTATAAATATATACCTTGATAAAAAGATACCTTGATAAAAATAAAATTATTGAAATTATTTTAGAAATATGGTTGGATGTACAATACCGTTTTATAACAATTCATTAAAAAAAGGATATATTATGAAAATAATTCCGAAAAACAGAACGCCGAATGAATTGGTTAGAGTATAAATGGCAAATATAAAAATTGGACACCGTCAAAAAATTCATCTGTATGTGAGGTAAAGTAATTTATTCTTTATAAATAATGTATTTAAAATATTAAAATAAAAATGTAACATAAAATATACACAGATTAATTATAATATCTGAAGACACGGTAGTGTCTTGGCATTAAGTATATATATAGTCATCACATGGTACGAATTTAATTCTTTCTCTTTTTGTCGTAATCTTTTCAATTATATATCATTGCATTGTGAGTCTAAATCAAATAATATGATAATTACGATATTTAATATGTAATATTTTATGAAATATATACATATAATATTTTTCTGAATTTTTGATTTTTTAAATATTATTACAGATGCATTTTGTTCCTAAAATGTAGAAACAGAGAATGGATAATAAACTAGCGCATTTAATAGCGCAAATAATGTGCAATAAATAACGTTTTGTATAAAGTAATGTGCAATATTGCAATAGTACAAAATAAATGAAAT